CCAGACCAGGTTAGAGATGCAGACAGGAAATGTTTCTCTTTTCATTAGAGGAGGAATTCCCAGTCCAGTAGGTTTTCTTCCTGCGTCATAAACCTGTAACCAAGCCTCTGTGTCTCTAAGGTGGAGCGGTGGGGGGTCTGCTGGGCAGCTGGATGGCCAGCGGTCAGTTCAGGCCTCTGCCTCAGATCCTCAGGGAGCTTCCTTCGCAGCAGAGGAAGCAGCTCTATGCAGTTATCGAAGACGTGCTGGGCAGCCTGGAACGGATTTCCACCGCCCAGCTCAGCAAGATGGTTACGGAGAATTCAAAGCTGGAGCGGCATGTCATCGCCGCCCTCATCAGCTATGTCAAGAGGTATCTTGGAGCTGAAGTCAGATACGAGCACTGAGCTTCATGGGGGAGGATCGACACACTGGGAACAATGGGGTGGGGGTGGGGGGGGGGCTCATGTTTTTTTTAATTCAATTGATTCTGAATGTTAAACATTAGGGTGATGGGAAGGAGGCCGTCCAGCTTTAAGACTTTTGGCTAATAAATAAGCAGAGTAAACATGCAGAAAGCTGCTCAGCCATTAGGAAGCATTGTGTCTTATTTTACTAAATAAACTGAAACGTGTTTTAGTTTCTCTCTGAAATCTGAATAAAATGTTTTTTTCTAAAATCTATGAGTCTGTTATTAATCCACAGATGGAGGCAGCCTGTCACTCCAGCCTTCATCCACTAGATGGCAGTTAAACTAAACACATGTTTGGAGTTATTTTGTTTTCTTCAAAATTTATTTGGAAAAAACCTCAGAGTGACATCATATCCAACCATCAGCTCCTGTCTCATTTCCAGCACATTTGTTTCCTTTATTTTCAGGCACATAAAGCGAGGAGTAAGGCACCTTTAATGAAGGAAGAACAAAACGCCTCTGATGACTTTCACTCGTTAACAGGATCCTTTCAGCTCGTTAGGCTTTGAGCAAATGTTTGTCATCCTGAAAACGATTACAAAGAATTTTATTCTTTTTCCCTTTAAATCTTAATCAGTTCTCAGGTTTATTTATTTAATCTTTTTTCTGTTCTTATAACTGGCTTAAACAAATAAATGATTCACATGGATCGGTTGTTCATTTTTACAG